TGAATTAAATAAATCCAATTAAATAGACGAATACTGCTGAAGCCTTTTATTCCATGTAATCAAAATAATTAGAGAGACTTTCGAAAAGAGTATGCAAGTGTCGAAAATTCTCACACGCTCGTTTCTGTAGATTTATCGAGAAAAATATATCGAGATTCCTCTATCGTTATCGTTTTATCAATGGTCCAGTAGAAAATTTGCATCATTCTGTACTGATGATAAAAGACATTATCATAAACATTGGCTTTCGAAAAAGAGAAAATTAAAAGGGGTAATTATCGATCGGCTAATTACAGAGAGGAAAGCAAATCGACAATCGCCATCATTGAAATGTTTGACATTTGCTGTTGAAAACTGCGCTAATTGTCGGGCTCGAATAAGGGTAGGAAAATATTTGGAAACTCCGAAAGGAATGTCAATTTATAATTTTTATAGAAACGGAGGATAAAGGCAAATAATACGATTGAAATAAATGCATAAAATAAACAGATTGCAAATGTTTATGCAAATTTTTTAAATTTTTATGAACACGATTAAAATGGAAATGAAATTGGAATAAAGATCTATTTCGTTCACTCTTCAAATACCATAATATGAGATTTACTTTGAATATTTATATCTTTTTACGTATCGTGTGTATACCATAGATTTTTAAATAATATAATTATATATATTTTCTTATAATTGTAATTATATACTTTAAAAAAAATAATACAAGAATATATATATATATATATAATTTAATCTTTAATCTCATATCTTTTTTATTATTAAATCATACGATTTTTTTTAATATATTGAATTGCATTATATCATATTTATATTTCAATGTATTTAATAATTAATATCGCGTTTTCTTTTTGATGTCAATTTACATCACATAAAATATTATTTTCATATCAAAGTGACAAGAAAAGATATGAGATCATAGAAAGATTATAAGTTTTATTACCTATTATAAGTATATATAATATATAATATATATAATATACCTATTATAATTATTACCTATGCTATTTATATACCAAAAATTATACTATTTTTCTAATAACTATATCACGAATTATTAATAACATTAATAATAGTTACTCATTCCAACGTTCTCAGTTAAAATATTCTATCATACTTTTCTTTATTACGTTTAACAGATATTAAAATATTTCAAATCTCTTTAAGACTCCCCTAAGACTTTCTTCAATGAAACTTTCAAAGTTTCAAATATCACCTAATTCTAAACCAAATTATTTTTCCTAAATTCCTAAATTATGTTCCTAAATTATTTTTCCTAAATTTTATCCTATGCTATGCATACACAAAACCAAATCTCCATAAAACTAATATAAATAACATTCAAAATTCAAAATTATTCCTCTCAATTACCCGCACAATTTCCTTTAAAAGACGAAACCCGTATCTTCCGATTTTCGTGAAAAGAATCCAACGAAACGATCCTTAAAGCACGATTATCCACGATCGTAAGCGAAAACGGTGATAGCGAGGATTTTCATCGTACGAAGAGATAACGTGTCCCTTCGATCAGATTCTTTGGGTGAAATTCTTGTCCCGATACAAGGCGTTTACAACCACCGGAGATATTTTTCATAAAAGATGGTACGAATGCATAGCGAAACTGTATAAAATAACTTAGTTCCAGCGTATTTCGCGGCGTCCAGAGACCGATAAAATATTCTCCCGAGTACATTTTGCAGGGAATTTCATTGGTCGATTGCCACGTATCAGAGTACGTAATATACCAAAGGGAGTCATTGTTGTTGCATCTGGCAGGGGCCAGTAGAGAAGAGAAGGTCATCCGAGCCTCCGAGGAATTCATATTAGACGAACGCGCGTGCGAACGGTTGAACAGCTTGACAAGATGATTGCCGTACAATTTGCGACATTTCAACGGGGGAGGTTATATACGTATGTTGCTGCGATTGAGCAGTCCGTCTCGATCGTTTTGTACCGCGCACGCGATCCCAGAATTTACGCGTCACGCCGAGATTCCGCGAAATCTTTCCGTTCGTCGGTGATTTATGCGCGATATACTCCTTATGACGATGTTATACTTCGTGGGATATTGGAAAACTCGACATAAGTTTCAAAAATTTGGAAACTTAGGAAATACCGGGTTCTCGAATCTTGAAACTTTGTATTATTTTTATGATTCGAAATTTTATGATCGAAAAAAAGAGTAATTTTAATCTAAATAATTTATAAAAAATTTTGCGACGATAGATTCGTTAAATTTTAGATTCATTGATCTAAGAAACAAACGTTTCACATTGTGACATAAAATATAATTTATAAAAAGAATTTTAAATTGATACCATTTTAAATTTTCTTTGTTGCGCAATTATTATGAAATTTATCCTCAAGTCTTTTTTTTATAATCTAAACATATACTAAAAGATTTAGAATTTAATAGTTTAATATTGGATTTCTATTCTAACTTCTTAAATGTTGATTGTACTTTATAACGTCATTTTTTATATTAAAAATTACTGGCATGAATTTAATTTAAAATGAGGGATTCATCGTACTACAACTTCTTTCTAAAGAACTATAAACTGATATTGAAAAATTCAAAAGTCGTTTTGTTTTCAAAGACACATTTCTTGTTATAATTAGATATTAAAAATAAAATAACTGAAACTAAATAACTAATTACTATATTATCGAATTCTAAATTATACGTTTTCTTAAAAAAATTTTAGAAAATATTTATGCCTAGAACCTGTTATACGAACTGTTTTCAACTGTATTTAAAATAAAAATTCCAACGATTACATAATTAATTAAAATTGAAAAATTAAAATAATTTGTTTCATTTTTAAAAAATAATTTTGCTAATTTACATCTTACTTTTAGAGAAACTATTTTCGCACTATCTAAATTCGATTAAATTCAAACGTGATACATATCGAAAGAATGTTCTAACAATAATAAACATCATGAGTATCCGACGTAAGCCAGTTTCCGGTGAATATCAAAATTCTTTTGCACAAAAATTTGATTTCTCACAACGGCATAAACGACGTTGACAAGCAAAGGAGCGGAAAATAAACGGTTAAAGTAATAAAACGCTCCGACCTCGGTGAATATCTCTTTTGAAACGCATTCTCTTTAACACAAATGCATCGCTTCGTCAAAAAATCATTCTAGCATTGCTAAAGATTTATTTCTGTTACAACAGTAAAAGACGGTGAAAAGAAAAAGAAGAAAATTTTATTCGATAATCATGATGCAAAAATATATAGATATCTCCTAATTAATAAAAAATTTAAAAAGTTAAATCATTTTTAAGCGATCGTTATTTTAATAGATATTATATTAAGTAATAAAATTACGAATTATATATAAAATTATATCAATTGAATATTTATTAGCATGATTTATATATATTTAATATTTATCGCAAAACTAAATGTTAATGCATCCTGATTGGAAAAATTTTTTTATTTATTTATTGATATATTTTAATAAAATATTGTCATGATTCTTATCCTAATTCTAGATATAACTCTAAATGATTTATTTTTAAATAACAATCGAAAAATCGAATTGTAATTTAATTATTTTTTTTCTATTTTATTAATTATCTCTTGAAAAATCGAAGTTTAAGTACTAACTCTAAAAGGCAAGCAATTGAATTGAATTCTACTTAAAACCCACCCCCCAAGGCCAGTTAATGTATTGCATTGTTAATGTTATTTCATTTCCATAATTATTGAAATAATTAATCAAATTTTTTTTCCATATATCAAACATATCGATACTTTCATTTCAATATCACGTATTGAAATTTTAAAAAATTTATATTTAAAAATTTAAATATAAATTTAAAAATTTAAATTTAAAAATTTATATTTTGAATATTTTTATATATATTTTTTTAATATTCGATTAAAAAATCTTAATAATTTTAATAATGAAAAATAAAAAAAGTTTTAATCAATTTACAATTAATTGAAATTAAATATCAGATTTACATAAGTTTATAATAACACGTATTGAAAATTTTTTAATAAATATATTATGTAAGAAAAAATGAATTCGATTCGTATTCACGTATATAACACGAAAAACTTATAATAAAATAAAGAAAAAAAAGAAAAAAAAATAAGATATTCAAAGTATAAAATATGTATAAAAGCTGTATATAACAATTATTTCTTGCTGTTCTATAAAGTTTTATTTTTAACAAATACCTGATATTAAAAATGAAAGTATCGATACATCTTTTGTATATGTAAATATATGGTTGATCATGACATATCGACGAACCAGTTTCTCAATGACCATTCGAATAATACCCTGTTCAGATTTCTTTCAATGAATGGCAAAAATTCGAGTACTATAATGATTTTAAAAACAAAATCTCTTCGAAAACAGAACGCCTGAAAGCATAACATTGCATTGACGCGAAGAAATGAATAAAATATATTATATTCTTTCATAATTAAATACTATTATCATTACATTAAATCATATACTTATTGGATGTACGATTATTATATATTTCTTGTTATATAATATAATTTTTTAAATCTTTTTCTTACCGAAGTGATTTTAATATAAAATATAAGAATCAAAAAGGTAAATAAAAATTTATTAAAATACAAGATCCTTTCATAACCAAAGATATTTATTTTATATTTTTACTCTATTTTTAAATTGATTGAAACATATTAATCCTAACTATATAAACCTCATCTTAGTAGAGTGTATTTAAATATTATTAGCTATAATATTTTTTTGTATAAATTAGCTATGTAATAAATTTTGTATTTTCTTCATATCATTTCCAAATTCCATATTCATTCTCGGAATTCAAGAATATGAACTCACTATTTTCACAAATCAAAACGTAATGCATATTCACTGTAAATTGTATTAACATTTTATAGATTACTCTTTTTATTACTAATTAATTTGTATAATTTTTTAATGACAATCCCCAAAGTTGTTGATATTTTTACGAATATAATCCATTTACTCACCGTATGGCAGAACAAATCCACAAATGAGCAATATGGAATAAAGAAGCCACAGCAAATTCGCACTTTTCTTCGTACACATGGCGCGATGCACACTGTTATCGGCCGTTTTCAAACACCCGTGCCGTATCGCGCGGCCACTCGCGTGGCTCTGAGAGTTCCTCGTTAGATTTCGAGTTTGAATCGCGATCTTTCTCTGTCTTTCGCTCTTTATCCCACACGCAGCCTCAGAAAGCGGTCCAGCGCCTGCTCGCTGACAATATTCCAAACTGTTTGAAACAGAGGGCACCACTTTCCAAACTTGATCTTTTATATACATATGACGAAAATAGAAGGTACAATGAATAGATGAAAATTTAATCATGATAAACAATTATTTATATAATTTGACATGTTTTAAAAAATAAAAAAAAAAGGTTTTTAAAATATACGAATTTAAACAAACAATTAATAATTTGAAAAATACACCTATATCAACAATTGGTAACGTAGATTTCTAAGAAATTTCTTTTTTAAATATATAAATATATTAATATATTTATGAGATATTTTAAAAATCGATTCTAATCATATCAAAATAAAAATATATATTTTTAAAATATACAAATGCGAATAAACGATTAATTCGAAAAATATATTTATATCAACAATCGATAATGTAGATTCCTATTATATCTAAGAAAAAATTTTTTAAATATACAAACATATATTGAGATATTTAAAAAATCGATTCTAATTATATCAAAACAAAAAAATAAATCTTTAAAATATACGAATAAACGATTACTTCGAAAAATAGTTCAAAAAATACATTTACATCAAAAATTAGTAATGTAAATTTCTATTATTTCCAAAAAAGAAGAATTAATTAAATATAAAAATATATTAATATATTTATGAGATATTATAAAACATCGATTTTATATATCAAACAAAATCGATTGAAGCATATAACTACACTATAAACTACAATTAAAGTTCAGACAAAGCAAGATAAAGAGATAATTCTAAAAATGAAAAGTTACAAATGAAAAGTAATTCAAATATCTCGATATTACATATTACGACATTCCAAAATAAATTTAAAAAATAATAATCATATGAATAAAAAATATTCATAATCAAAATTCATAATCAAAATATTTAAAAGCAATCGCGACATTTTTTTACAATGCACCACAATAACAAACACAATAATCATTTAATATTAATTCAAAACGGAAGATTTATAAATGCAAATCTAATTCGTAATTTATTTATCGCAACACTAAAGCAAAAACACGATGCCCATGATCGCGAACGCAGCCAATTAGCTCATATTATTTACTATAAAATTTATACTTGTATCAAGTATACAAAAATAAATTATGTAATAAATAATAATGATTCCCAGGTCTCACCAACTTGGAGGTTGCTGCGAATTGGAGACCCACCCTAACCGCACGGTCCCATCCACCCTCCAATATGCAAAAATTTACTTAAAATCAATGACAAATACTCCTTTTGATGTAACTATGCAAAACATTCAATCTATGTTGTACATAATAAACAGCAAAAGGAATCTCAAGGAAAACCGAAAAACTAAAGCTGAAAGTAAAAATTGAATTAAATCTTAATTCTATACAACTCTACATGAAACACAAACATATTATTTCGTACATATATCAATATTTTATATTATTATGAGTATAAATATATATAAAATATTAATATATTACGAAGTTTAAAAGGAAAAAAAAATTGAAATGCATTTCACAGAGAATTGTATTTATCTTATTAACCATCATTATTTTCAAAATCAATCAACATTACCAAGCATTATCAAGCATTATTAAGCATGTATTTGCAAATATATCCTATTTTCTACAGAAGATATTCTATCTAGTAATTTATTTTCTACTTCTTAAAATTTTTCAATATAAAAATTTTAATGAATCAACTTAGAAATATTTCAATCATAAATGTGATTTAATATAATCCTTAAGGGAAACTTAACCTATAAGGAAACTTAACCTATAATCTTCAAGATCAAGCTTC